AGAATTTTTGGATGAACAGAACTCATCTGTAACTCTTAGAGAAGGCACACTTCAAAGGCAGTTCCATGTTGCCCAGTGAAACTAAGGTTTCAACTGAAGGAGCTCAGGAGATTTCACTCCAAAACTTGACTCCTTGGTGTAAATGGCATTTGGGTTAAATGGTTTTAGAGAACAACAGGCCCTTGAAAGTAGAAGTCCTTCTACTATATAAACCAGACATATCCATCAAAAAGAGCTTTCAACTTCCCTTCCTGACCTTCTTATCTCTCACTACATTTCAGGAAAGAAGATCAAGCATATGACCAGACCTGGTCCAAATTATTGTAAATATTAGTATAACATGTATCTCTCAATGTATCTCTACATTAATTTACAAGTCAGTCTGTTTCCCCTCACCCATTCATTCTCCCAAGTACTATTTCATCCTCCCTGGCAACCATTTTTTGCCTGTAAGCAGACTTCATATTCCTCATCTCCACCACCCCTTTAAAATGGGACTCCACCAAGATATTAAGTAATCACTGTGTGATTCTCCCCAGGTGGGCAGCAAATAAATCTCTTTCTCTTATTAATCTGCTTTGCTGTGAATTGATCCATCAGCAAAATCTGGGGAGAAAGGGAAATTTTCCCCTCACCCCTAGGTAACAAATTTTGTTAAAAACAATTGTGAGAAACTCAAGCAAGAGAGATGAACTCTGAAAAGATTTACAGAAACTATTAACTTTAAATATACAATTACCAGTGTACTTATGGCACAAAACATAATTGGAAACACAGAGTAGAAATTATAGAAATTATAGGCACATTTCAGGTACTTCTTTTTCTTCTTTTCTCTGAGCTCCACTTTTATTTTATCTGAGTTTTGCTCTGCTTTTCTGATTTTTTCACTTTCTCATGAGAAATCCTTGCAAATACAGCCAAGTCGATAGGTAGCAAGGGTCTTCTTACACTTGGTATGGCCTGCTCCCAAAGTGTTTCTACTATATGTGCTCTATTGGTCTAAAGCTAAGCTAAGCTAGGCTCTTTGGAAAGAACATAGACACAGTTAAAAGTAAGAGTGACTGTGGTTAGAAGAAAACTGCTATCACTATCACCTTCAAGATACAATAATCATAATAAAAATAATTAGTAATCATAGTAATAACTCATTCAATTGTTTACTCCAGAAACCATATTAAACCTTTTATATATACTAACCTGTTTAATCTTTACAATAGCCTTAAATCATGTTCTACTGGTTTCCAGGTTTAATAGATAAGAACATTGATGCACACTAACACTTATGAATGACCTAAACACATATGACTAGCAAGTGATGGTGCTAAATTTTAAATAAAGACTATTTAATTTTTCTATCACTACATTATGTTCTTTCTATCTGGGTATATTTATGCCTTTTGGGAATAATGTGAATATCCTTTGAAATTAAACATATGTATCTTTAGGACAGCAGTATTAAAGGGCCATGGCATTAGGAAGGTTGAGAACGACTGCTTTAGAACCTTCTAATTATTTGATTGTAAATAAAAATAATCACCTACTTTTATATATATGGCACCAACATTATTTTGAATAAGTAACATGCAGGTCTTAGGTTTTAATAGCAATGAAGATATGTTGTGGGAGATCATCACTTAGATTGAAGAAAATTGCTTTTGATTATTATTAAATCCTGAGTGTGTTTTACATAAGATACCATGTAATTGACTTTCTTAGAAAACCCAGTCATTAAAATGCAAACTAACAAAGTTTTCTAGTTAGTAGTTTTATCAGTGTAAGGCTACAGAGCCACGAAACATTTTAATTATTACTATGAAGTGATTAAGTATTAGCTGACAAACCCAAAAAGTATAGAAAGTTTATAATAGCATTTAAGTAATAATTCCCCACTGTACCTAACTAAGGAATTTCAGAATTAGTGTGAGTGATGACTTAATATTTTGGTAGCATTAAGATATTTATCCCAAAAAATCTGCTAATTTGTTTCTGTATTAAAAAGTATGCAAGAGTCTCTATAGAGGTTTCACAACACTCAATACTATTGTATACAAACTATGCAATTTTATTTGACTAACTTTTTTCAAAACTTTGATTATTTAATTCTAAATAAGATTTAGCCTCGCTTAATATCAACCATTTTACTCTCTTATACAAGCAATTTAAACTTTAAACTCTATCATGTATCCTTTTTTTTTTTGTCTTTGCTGAGTTTTTTGTAAGAAGAATGTTTTTCCTCAGTAAACTAATTGATGTTGTGTTGAATTGCAAGTATTTGTAGTTTGTTATTTGTTATTCTTTGGGCTTGTGTGTGTTGTCAATGGAAAAAGCCTTACGTTATGAATTTTCATTTCCTGTGCTCATTTAGAAGGTATATCTTATGCCAAAAAAAAAAAAAAAAAAAAAACTTCTTATTTAAAGGAAAGTTTTTCCTTCATTTTTCAGTTTAATTTGAATGCTTACATATTTGATCAGGCTAGGAATGATTTTGGGATATTGAAATGTTTGTATTTGGGTTAAGAAGTTAAGTATACACTCAGTTTTAAAATTTCTCATATGGCATTTAAATAATCTCTACTTTCCCAACTGATATGTCAATAAATATTCATTAAATTTATTCACCATTTTTCTGAATATCTACTGTTATGTGTGCACATAATATTCTATTATGTTGAATTGTTTACATATTCTTTCTTCATATATGTTGCTGCGTGAGATAATGCTGTTTTATGTTTTATTACTCTCAAAACATAGTCCAAGGTATTACTTTACAAGACTTTTAATTTTTCAAATTTTTGGTTTCTCTAATTTTTAACTTTCCATAGAGGCTATAATCATTTAAAATTGAGTTAAATGTTGTCATTTTTTTTAATGCAGGGTTAACTATAGAATTGTTTTAGGGGAGTCACTATAGTAAAGACAGTAATGTGTGTCTATGTGCTCTTCTGGCAGTGTATGCTCATGGAAGCCCATTATCGCAATGACAATGGTTTCTACATGTCTTTATGCACATTTATGTCTACATTTACATTTACGTCTATGTCTTGCTGTATTTTTGAACAGAATTCAGCATTTTATTTTAATTTCTAATGGTATTTATAATCTTAACAAATTGTTAGAAAAAATTTTGCATTGTACATATTTATATAGTAAATTTGAAGTAAATAATTACATTTATTTCTTTTATTGTTTTCTTCTATCACCCCCAAATAACTTAATTTCTTAACTCATTTTGTTGACTAGTAAATAAGTGTATTATATTAATATGCTATTAAGTATTTTTGATTGTTTCCTACTTGAACAAAATTATTATGGCAATCTATGAAAAAATTCATTTTTGTAAGCAAAATAATCATTACTATTTTAAACTCCATCTCTTTGATTATAAGTTAGATGGGGATAAAACTATTTCCCTAATTATATCTCATTGATGGTTATACACAATATCTTGTAAAGCAAGTTGTATAGCTTAAATACACACAATGACCTATATTAAGAAGAATAATGATAAAAGTTTCTCTAAGAAGCAAGAAACAATGTTATCTAGTGAGAGATTACTGAGAAGAGAAGAATGATGATGCTTTGGAATGGCTCAAGAGCGAGCTACTATTAACCAGTCTGAGGTTGAGGTTGAAGATTAACTGTAGCTTCTCTGTTGATCAAGGTGAACATACCAAATAGTGATTAAAATGTGTCTCCTTTGATGAGAGACACAATAAACAGTGTGTTTAGATGAATTCCTTCTGGATGCTTCTTGCAAGATAAATGCTTATGGACAACAAAAGTATCATTTTTTCTTGGCAGAAATGATGAAGACATGGGATGAATAAATCTACTGTCAAGATTTTCAACATTCTGTATGAATTTAAAACCACAAATAAAACCATTCTTGATGCATATAAATTGTTTACCAACCGTTATGCTGTATGCGGTATTAATATTTAATTGCTTTATTTTTGTATTCCTTAAAAAAACTAATTTTTACTTTTCTCTATCAACATTTTCTGCATATAAGATTCTCACCTCTTTAAAGTGCTTTATTTTATCTTTATAGAGAACCACTTTTGGAGCCTGCTACGGATTTGCTGGGTCTTGACACTATAGATGATGGGGTTCATCAGGGGAGGGAAGATGATGTAGATGTTGCCCATGAGGACGTGGACCACAGGAGAGAGGTGCTTGCCAAAACGGTGCACCATGGTCAGACCGATGATTGGGATGTAGAAAACCAGGACGGCACTGATGTGGGAGACACAGGTCTGCAAAGTCTTGAGTCGCTCCTCCCGGGATGCAATAGCCAAAACAGAGCGCAGGATCAGAATGTAGGATATGAGAATTAACAGAGAATCAGACAAAAGTATACAAATCACCAGAGCCAAGGCGTAGAAACTGTTGAAGCGGATGTCAGAGCAGGCTAGTCTCAGTAAGTCTTGGTGTAGACAGAAAGAGTGGGAGAGGACACGGGAACGGCAGTAATGAAAAAACTTTAGGCGGACTATGGGAGCAATGATGAACGCAAAACTCCTAACTAAAATCCCCAGCCCAATTTTGATGATCCTGGCATTGGTTAGTATAGATGTATACCTCAGAGGGTTACAGATTGCTGTAAAACGATCAAAAGCCATGGCAAGAAGGACTCCAGACTCCATGAGTGATAGACCATGAACAAAGAAGGTCTGAGCAATGCAGGCATCCAGACTAATCTCCTGGCTGAGGCCCCATAAGATTCCCAATACAGTGTGTACTGTGGACAGCCCCATGCACAGGTCGGTGAGAGCCAGCATGGCCAGGAAGTAGAACATGGGCTCATGCAGGCTTGGCTCTGTACGGATCACGTGCAGCACCAGGCAGTTCCCAGAGAGTACAATCGCATAGATGCAGGAGAAAGGGATGGAGAGCAAAGGATACTCCTTTTCCAGGCCAGGGAAGCCTGTAAGGAGAAAGTCTGAGGAGTTGGTGTCAGGAGCAAGATAAGCAGGCATTTAAATGTCAGTTTTTATTCTATGAATCAGAAATTACTTCCGTTTCATAGACAAAATTCATTTAACTTTAATTTTTCGTGTACACATATTGGAGGCAAGGTGTGGAATCAGGTATTTTGAAGTTCTTTTGATTAAATTAGAAAGTCACAATTACTGTTCCTTTTTTCACATCCTCTATCCAAGCACATCTGTCCACTAAAAATCTTATTCTGTTTCTACCTAGGAAAACAGTAAAGGAAAAAAAAAGAAAAAAATTATTTCAATAGATTTTATCTTTTCCTAAGTAACTGAAGATTGTGATAGGAGTTTATTTCCAAATGTGTATTAATATTTAAGCATCATTGTGAAAAATAGTTACCTATCAGTTTTCCAGATATGCTGAACTTTAGTCTGTCTCTTCTATCCAGTAATGCTGGTTCAAATCTCAAGTGAGCCGTAAAACCTCAAGGATATATTCACTTCTCCATTTCTACAAAAACAGTTTATATATTCTTAAGTCCTTGCATCAGAGGAGAGTTACAGTGCTGGGAGTTACATCCTGAGGGAGGAAAATAATGGGTAGAAATTGAGACTAATGAGTAAAAATTTATTCTATGTCCTCAGGGACATTCTATTCTTAATTTGAAGAGAATAACAAAAGGAACTATTATTTCACAGTGCTCAAAAATTATCTTCATGGTGTGCATTTATATTATTCAACAAACACTTACCTACTCCATTAGATGTTCCAATTACTAGTCCAGACATATAAAATATATTATAGTTTGTAATCCTCATGTCAGCACTAAGCAATAGCTGATATTATGGGTGATGGTTTATGGACAGTAATTTGAGTTATGACAGGTTAACACAGAGGTTTTTTTAAAAACTTTTTTATCTCATAGCACACTTGAACCTATAGTTAAACCTCCATAGGACATTTAAATTAATTTGATTTAAAAAAGAGTAATAAAAGAAATTCTTACTGTATTTTGAAACTTTGAAAATAATTTAATTAATTAGTTGGAAATCACTGGGTCACTAGCTTACCAACACTATGCAGCTAGTTAACATTTGAACCTAGAAAGTCTAACTTCAATGCCTGTGTTCCTAACCATGCTGGGCTGGCTTAAGTTTTTATCTTCACTGACATTCTCTCAGCCCACATTAAATTCTCACATATTGAGCTTCATACTATTCCAATATTCATTTGAAAGTATTATCCTTCTTTGTGCATCTAAGACATTCTATCTTTAAAAATATATATATATGGAAGGCTTCACAAATTTACGTGTCATCCTTGCGCAGGGGCCATGCTAATCTTCTCTGTATCGTTCCAATTTTAGTATACGTATTGCCGAAGCAAGCCCACATTCTATCTTTTATATGACAGATGTAACAGTGGTGTGTAAACAAATTTGGGCAAACAATTATTATAGACTAAAGAATGCTATAAGCAAATCATTTGCTTTCTACAGAGAATTATTATTAGATTTGGATATGTCTTCTTCCATTGCCAAAATGAGTATTTTTCCCGACCCTGCAACAGACTGGGATAATTGTCCTTGTGCTTGTTTTCTTGTCCATGTTTATATATCTATCAAAACATGCTCACATCATCAAAGGCACTGAATATCATCTTACTGAAAAAAATTTGGCATACATGGCCCTAATCTGATTATGACTTCCCATTCTTTTAATTCCATGCTCGTAAAAATACTAAGTAAACATTAACAGTTATAATTACACAATAGTACCTCTTTTATGAAGAGTAATAAAATTACAGCAATACATATTATTTTAAATTATTCACTCTTTAGTAATTTTGCTATACAATGTCACTTCAGAATGTAATAAGGAAGATAAGAATAGAAATAATTGGTATAAAATATTTATACATTATTAAATCATAAATTCAATACTCTCCTAAGTTTGCATTGTCCAAAATTGAACAAAATATTACCTTTATGTTCAGTAACTAGTACTAAACAGTAAATAATCAGTAAATAATATCAATAACTATGATTATAAATTTGTGTCATATGTATCAAAGAGTAACAGACACAACAATTTTGTTTCACCTATAATAACAAAAGTAGACATTTTAATTTATTTTACAGCATTTAAAACTTAAAATGCAAGTTTTAAGCACTTAAAACACATATACAACATTCAAAATAATATAAAAGTCATGTACAATAGATTCAGATTCTGATTCATTTCATGTGGAGTAAGCAGTCCCCCCTGCTGGAGATAAATTTATCTGAAGATGCATAATGGATGCATGAAACTGCTAATCGTACCTAGGCATACATATACTCCAATTTCTCCTATACAGACATATCTATGGGAAAATTTAATTTGAACCTAGTCACAGAAAGATATTAACTACAATAACTAACAATAAAATAAAACACATAATGACATAGTGTAATAAAAATTCAACTATAATAAAATGTAGCTTCTCTCTCTCCCTTTCTTTCTCTGTCTCTTTCTCAGAACATCTTACTGTGCTAAAATCACCTATTGTTTTCACTGTAGTTGACCATTGACTGAAATGACAGAAAGCAACACCAGGGACAAAGGGAAACTACTATCTCTGCTTACCTTTGCCTACCCAGCAAATGACCTGTAATATAACTTCATTTTTCCACTATTGATTCTTCCCAGAGAGAAAACATGTCCAAAGAAGTAAAATAAGAAAATAATTCCCAATATTCATCATTCTACTTTATTTATTTATTTAGTGGGGAACATCCTTCATAGACAAATGCTTTAGAAAAACAACCAAATAACTGTATACATCTATACTAACCAGTGCCAGGATCATCAAAACTGGGCTGGGGATTTTAGTTAGGAGTTTCATGTTCATCATTGCTCCCATAGTCCGCCTAAAGTTTTTTCACTACTGCCATTCCCGTGTCCTCTCCCACTCTTTCTGTCTACATCAAGACCTACTGAGACTAGCCTGCTCTGACATCCGCTTCAACAGTTTCTATGCCTTGGCTCTGGTGATTTGTATACTTTTGTCTGATTCTCTGTTAATTCTCATATCCTACATTCTGATCCTGCACTCTGTTTTGGCTACTGCATCCCGGGAGGAGCGACTCAAGACTTTGCAGACCTGTGTCTCCCACATCAGTGCCGTCCTGGTTTTCTACATCCCAATCATTGGCCTGACCATGGTGCACCACTTTGGGAAGCACCTCTCTCCTGTGGTCCACGTCCTCATGGGCAACATCTACATCATCTTCCCTCCCCTGATGAACCCCATCATCTATAGTGTCAAGACCCAGCAAATCTATATAGTAGAATCCAGGGACGGTTCACTAAGAAATTCTGAAGTTAATTGTGATTTAGAGAATGTAAGTAGTAATTTGAACAGCAATGACTAATAAATGATTTATACCAAAAAATAATTAATTTTTCCATAGTGCTTCACTGAATAAGGTATATTTACAGTTATTTTCTTTTTTTTAATTAAATCATAGCTGTGTACATTAATTCAATCATGGGTACAACGTGCTGGTTTTATATACAATTTGAAATATTTTTATCAAACTGGTCAACATAGCCTTCATGGCATTTTCTTAGTTATTATTTTAAGACATTTATATTCTACATTCAGTAAGTTTCACATGTACCCTTGTAAGATGCACTATAGGTGTAGTCCCACCAATTACCCTCCCTCCATCCATCCTCCCCCCTCCCCTCCCCTCCCTTTCCCCTTTCCCTATATTCTTGGGCTATAATTGGGTTCTAGCTTTCATATAAAGGTATAAAGTAGTTTCATAGTAGGAGTAAGTACATTGGATACTTTTTCTTCCATTCTTGAGATACTTTCCTAAGAAGAATATGTTCCAGCTCCATCCATGTAAACATGAAAGGAGAAAGAGGTAAAGTCTCCATCTTTCTTTAAGGCTGCATAATATTCCATGGTGTACATATACCACAATTTATTGATCCATTCATGGGTCGATGGGCACTTGGGCTTCTTTCATGACTTAGTAATTATGAATTGGGCTGCAATAAACATTCTGGTACAAATATCTTTGTTGTAGTGTGATTTTTGGTTTTCTGGATATATACCTAGTAGAGGAATTATACGTTCCTTTTGGAAAGATGTTTGGAGAACAGTTAGAGAAGTAAAAACAGACCTGTCATTCTATCCTACAGTCATTTTCTAATTTAGTTCTCTACGACCAGAGAAATAGGCTGAAAAACTTTTACTTTTGTTATCCCCTCATTTTTCAATGAACTGTAATCTTAAAGAAAGCGAATTATGTTTAATACTTACTTGGTCAATGAGCACTTGGCTAGGAAGTGATTACATTTATAGTACAGTACTTACTTTATGAATTCTATTTCATTATGTTTTTATTTTTGCACATAACCATTGTCTGTGCACCTTAACTACACATGAGACAAGCAGTTTGTATGTATTGTTATTACATGTCATAAATTGACTCTCTTAAGGTCCTTCAGATCTTTTCTACCTTTACTGAGCAAAACTACCCCTAAAGCCCATCCTGTTTTGTCTACTAGAGTAAATAATGTGTGAAACTGAATTAAATGTTTAAGTGCAAACAATTTGGTAAATAACAGCACAGCAGCTATGACAGTTTTACATTTTCTGCCTCTTACTACCAAATACACAAACTTGTTCTTTGTAGTAAATATAGCATAGTTTACAACAGCCGTTCTCAACCTGTGGGTTGCAACCCCTTTGGAACCATGAAAACACATCCTGTATCTCAGATATTTACATTACAATTCATAACAGTAGCAAAATTACAGTTACAAAGTAGCAATGAAAATAATTTATGTTTGGGGGTCACCACAACATGAAGAAGTGTATTAAAGGGTTGTGGCATTAGGACAGTTGAGAACCACTGGTTTAGAATGTTCACAAGACTTGGCAATTGACTTTTAATCTAGGTGTCAGTGTACATAAAATTTTAAGGACAGTTTTATCAATGCCTTCATTTTACAGAGAAGATGCTGAGGTAAAAAGATATTAAGCAAGATTCAGCAGCTAAATTGGAGATACAATTGTGATACATAGAATCTTTTGAACATACATTTTATTTAAGTCTTATCCTCTTCCTGTATAAAATTAGCAGGGTCAACTCAATCATCAAATCTAAGAATCTGGCTCTTGCTTTTAAAGTAGATGCTGACCTGTTATTGAAAAACAAAATTTAAAACCATTTATCAACCTCAAGATTTTTATATATTGTTACATCACCATGGCTATGCGCTGGCTGGTTCTGACTGGGACAGAAGAATTATCATTTATCAGCAGAGCTTCAGTGCAGTTAAGATTTTCAGGTAGGTGGAAATAAAGTTGCCATGCAGTGATAATAAGTATATAAAGCTCCATTAGCAAGAGTCCAAAGAATGTGAAAATATGTAATTTTGGATACTAGTATTAGGTGTATAGCCTGTTAGTTTATCTCATTTTTGAGAAAACACTCAACATATTCCTGAGCAAAAATTTGTTATTATAATTTTTGATCAAAGGCTCAGATCTCTTGTTTGTTGTCACCACTTTCTTTCTTTGTTGTCTCTCTTTCTATGTTGTCACCACTCATCCTCCCGCCCAGGCACATTTCCACATCTCAGTTGGACTACAAAGTTCTTCCTTTGTTTATTTTCCTTGGATTGATTTCTTTCTTTTTAGCTCACAGTAAGGCTATTTCTTTATTCTAGAATATCTGTCTTTCCTGTGAAGTCCTTGTCCTCTCCTCACCCCCTTTTTAAATATCTTGCTTGCAACTCATCACTAATTAGCTTTTACCCACTATAGTCCTGGAGAATGTAATGTATTTTCTTTTACTGTTAGGAGAAGTTGAGAAATAAAAGCAGAAAGTATATTTCCCAGCCATATCCATCTATGATATTGATTAGTAACATATGAGATCCTTGTTACATATACACATTAATGTTTATGTTAAACATGTTTAATGTATAATAGAATTGTGATTCTTAGGTCACAATACTTCTCTCAGTTATACAATGACAATAATATTGTCCTTTTTTTTTTTTTAACAGCCAAAAGAGTTTTGATAAATTTAAGTTCTGTGTAAGTTTTTTACTACCTAAGTATTTCTTGATTTTCTTTGTTATCTTCTTTTTAGTTTCTCTACTTCAATGTTTCTAAGAAAAATGTAAATTTCTAATATTGAAGCATAGATATAAAAAGTATCATATTATATAGTTTTTCCTCTTAATTTTGCTATCAAAATAACTGAAAGATACATCAGGCTGGAATAAGCTTATGTGTCATTATGAAAAGGAACAATATGAATAACTCTGACTCATAATATTCCTTGCTTTTAGATTAACAATTTAATAATTTTATAATTTATTTGTAACATAATTAGGAATTAGCTGTTTTCTAATTATGTGTAATATATATGGATAATACGGATACATAGTTACATATATGTATATGTGCCCATGTATATTTGTTTGTATTTATATTCATATAAGTATATATAGTCAATCATCATTATTCACAGATTCTGTTATAACTTTGCCTACATCCTAAAATTTATATATAACACCAGAATCAATATTCACAGTGTTTCATAAATACTCCTGGACATGCACAACGAAGTAAAGTGTTTGAGTTGCCAAAGTGCACATTCTAAGCTGAGAAAAAGCAATGAGAAGCTCCATCTTCTTGTTACAGTTATCGTACTGTTGGAGAGGGTATTGAGTCTGGAAATTTATCCAATACGACTGTCTATCTTCATCATCACTTATTAGAGATCACAATTAGAGATCACAAGCATTATAGTTATTTATTGTTATTTTTACTTTGTTTTTAAATGTTGCCAGTAGTGACTAAGAACAATACAAATAATAAATATGGCTTAGAAAGCATTGCCTTGGATGGTAGGATCAAAATTTAGTACAGCTCTATTCACAGTTTTCTTCTTACTGCTGCATTTAAAACATCTACGTCGATATCTTAAATGACTACATTAACAAAATAAATTCATCCAAAATAATAAAATTTGTGTAGATCCAAGAATTTTGAGGATGTAAGAGACAAATGAATTGATAAGAACATGCCATTTTTTTTTTTTTTGAGACAGTTTCACTTATTAACCCTCAGTAGAGTGCTATGAAGTCACACCTCACAGTAACTTCCAACTCCTTGGGCTTAGGCGATTCTCTTGCCTCAGCCTCCTGAGTAGCTGGGACTACAAGTGCCTGCTACAATGTCCAGCTATTTTGTTGTTGTTGTTGTTGTTGAAGTTAGGCCAGAGCTGGGTTTGAACCCATCACCTTTGGTATGTGGGGCTGGCGCCCTACTCACTGAGCCACAGGCGCCACCCAGAACATGCTATGTATTATCAAGTTCTACTATAAGCTTCATTTTCCATTTATTTTATTTAATTGCTTAAAATGTCCTTGGTTAGATTATGGGAAGATGGCAAACTGGTAGCAACCCTGGTCAGAGGCTCCTGAGCAAAGGAAGAAAAACTGGTTGGAATCAGAATCTATGAAGCCAAAGATGGGGAGCTGAGCCTAGAAAGAAGTTCGGCAAGCTATAAATCCAAGGAAGATCATTTAAGAATATAAAATACAGGTACAAAGTGGGCCCCAGAACTGCTTACTAGAGCCGTCCCCCTCCCGCAGGTGGTGGGTTGCCGCAGAGAAGCCCCCTGCGCCGGGCAGCCCCAGAAGTACTTGCTAGAGCCTAGCACACCCCCGTGTGTGGCGGCGGACGAGTCCCTCACTTTGGGAGGAACCAGAACTGCTTGCCAGAGCCGCACACCCCACAGGCAGCAGAGAAGAACCCCTCCCCAGGGCTCTGGGCAGGTCCAGAAATTGTTGCTAGAGCTGCAAGCCTCCCGCAGGCAGCGGATGGCCGGAGTGGGTTCCCCTGCTCCGGGCAGCCACAGAAGTACTTGTTAGAGCCTTGCGCACCCCGGCAGGTAGCAGAGGACGTGTCCCCCACTCTGGGAGGACCCAGAACTGCTTGCTAGAGCCGTGTGCTCCACAGGTGGCAGAGTAGATCCCTGCTACAGGGCTCTGGGCAGGTGCAAAACTGCTTGCTAGAGCTGCACACCTCCTGCCGGTGGCAGGTGGCAGCAGAGGACTTCCCACTGCTCTGGGCAGGCACAGAATCAGTTGCTAGAGCCCTGCACACCCCCACAGGTGGCAGCAGATGAGTCCCCCACTCTGGGAGGGCCCAGAACTGCTTGCTAGAGCCGCACACCGCACAGGCGGTAGAGTAGATCCCTGCTCCAGGGCTCTGGGTGGGCATAGAACTACTTGCTACAGCCACACACCTCCTGCGGGCTGCGGGTGGCCACAGAGGATTTCCCCTCCTCTGGGCAGGCACAGAACTACTTGCTAGAGCCTCGCACACCCCGCGGGCGGTGGCAGAGGAGTCCCCCACTCTGGGAGGAACCAAAACTGCTTGCTAGAGCCGTGCACCCCACAGGCGGCTGAGGAGATCTCTGCTCCAGGGCTCTGGGTGGGCCCAGAACTGCTTGTTAGTGCCACGGGTGTCCTACGGGCAGTGGCAGAGGAGTCCTCCGTTCCAGGCAGACCCCAAACAGCCTTCTAGAGACATGCACACTCCACAGGGGCCAGCAGAGGAGTTCCCTGCTCCAGGCACCTGTGCTGGGTGAGCCCAGAATTGCTTGCTAGAGCCATGCATGCCCTGGAGGAGGCAGTGGAGGAGTCTAGTGCTCTGGGTGGACCAAGAACTGTTTGTTAGAGCCACGTGCATCCCAAAAATGGAGGTGGAGGAGTTCCCCACACCGGCTCCCAGGCTGAGAGGGAATAGATCGGCTTGCTAGTGCCGCACATGTCCAATAGGCCATGGTGAAAGAGTCCTCCACTCCCCCCAGCTACTCTGCTGGGGCCAAACTAAGACTGATCTGGTTGCTTGTGTACCCTACACTACAGCTGCCATTCCCCCACCCCCCGACTGCTCCAGGGTGCTGAACTAGGACTGACCCGGCTACTGCCGGTCTCCTGCCCACTGGTTGCCCCAGTAGACTGAGCGAGGTCTAATCCGACCACGCACACTCCCGTGCAGCTGCTGCTGTTCCACTGCACCCCAGTTGCCCCAGCACCTGAGAACTGGGAGTAGACAACAGACACGCTCTGCCTCTCTCTCTGGGCAACCAGAAGAAGCCACCAACTGAACAGTTCTGATAAGGCCTCCAAGCAAGGTAAACTCAGAATGGGGCGGAATCAGTGGAAAAACTCTGGCAACTCAAATAACTAGAATAGATCAACTCCCCCAAGGAAAAATGGGGCATACGTAATTGAAGACCCTATCCACAAGCAAATGGCTGAAATATCAGAAATCGAATTCAGAACATGGATAGCAAATAAGATTAACAGAATGGAAGAAAGGAAGGAAGTAGAAGTTCAAGAAATGATTCAAAAGATCTCTCAAGAAATTATTCAAAACATTTCTCAAGAAATTACCCGAAAGATATCTCAAGAAGTCATTCAAAAGATGTACCAAGAACTCAACAATTTCAAAGATAAAATGATCAAAGATTTTGAAACACTGAGACAAGAGGTTGCAGCCCTCAAGGATCTGAAAGACACAGTGGAATCCCTCTGTAACAGAGTGGAACACACAGAAGAAAGGATCTCTGATTCTGAAGACAAATCTTTTGAGGAAGCCCAGGAATGCAAAGATCAAAAGAAATGGAGAGTAAAAACGAATCTCACTCTCAGAAAGCTCTCAGATAATTCGAAGAAAACTAATATTCGCCTTATAGGAATCCCTGAAGGTGATGAAGTTGCTTCACAAAACAC